ATCTGGGAGAACCGGGGTTGATTCCCGACTCCTCCTCCACATGCAGCTGCTGGTGTGACCTTGGGTCAGTCACAAGTTCTCCCAGAGCTTTTTCTCTCAAGAGCAGTCCTCGAAAGAGCTCCCTCAGCCCCACCCACCTCATAGGGTGTCTGGTGGGGGGGAGGAGATTGTGAGCCACTCTGAGACGCCGTCGGGTAGTGAAAGGCAAGGTATAAATCCAATCTCCTCCTCCTCTGCATCACCTCCACCTTCAACCTTTCATGTGGTGGGTCCTGGGCCTAGAAACAGGGAGTCACATGCAATGTTCCCTCTAAGCTGTGGAGTCTTGTGAGCAAAAATTCTACTTTGTGAGCTGTTGGCATTAAGGTTGTGAGCAAGCAATTTGGCTACTGCATAAATTAGTTTGCTCTGGAGCCCTCCTTCCTGAGCTAAGACAAAAATGTGTGAGCCGGAGGCTAAAAAACTGTGAGCTAGCTCACACTAACTCAGCTTAGAGGGAACACTGGTCACATGACATAGTCACATGATTAGAGGAGGGCGGGGCTGTGACCTCACCGCAGGGATGCCAGCCTCCACATGGGGGATCCCCCCAGAACCACAGCTCATCTCCAGGCTACAGAGGTTAATTTCCCCTGGAGAACATGGACGCTTTGGAGGGTGGACTCTGAATGGCCTTGTGCCCCACTGGGGTCCCTTCCCTCCGCGGGCTCCATCCCCCAGATCTCCGGGAGTTTCCCAACCTGGATCCGGCAACCTTAACCCCCACCCCCCACCAGTGGCTAGAGGGGGTCACCGGTACCCGAGCCAGGACTGTGGGAGGAGTCCCAGAGCGCTGGGACCAGGAATACGAGCCAAACACCGGGAGGTGGACCGTAGTGAGGGGTCGAGCCGAGGGCCAGAGCCCTGGAGGCGCCCCCTCTACCCCGAGTGACCCCGTATCCTTGTCCAGCTGTTCCGGTCAGCAAGTCTGCAGCGGGAAGCAGGCGCCGCGGTGCCCTTGCTCCTGGGGAGGCGTCTTAGTAGCCAGTCTTTCCAAAGGGCAGCAGAAAAATAAAAATAAATCAGCCCGGTGATTCCGGAGCGCCTCATTACGAAGCATTTGGGGTCCGGTGGCCCCCGTCCCCTGGGCTGAAGACCACTGACCTCCACGGAGTGGTCTTCTGCCCGGGTGCCCTAGTAGGGAATGGTGGCGCATGCCGTACCTTTGCTCGCTTTATTCGGGGTTAGCAAGCTGTGGTTCCTCAGTCTCCGCTAGACCTTCGAATGGCTTGCTAAGTTGTGCGTGGGCATCCCGGGAGCGTCTGTTGGAGAGCGATATCTGTAAGCAGACGAGGGATAGTCTTAGGATGGTCAACGCGTGAAAAAGCATTGGGAACAAAGAGTCCCACCCGCCTGGTTTTTCTTCAGAAATAAGGAGGCCAAGAGGATCCCTCTTTTATTTAAAAGGAAAGTTGTGCCAGCGTCAGGAGGCTGAAAAAGCCACTCTGTCCCCTTGAACCACACCCCTCCGCATCCCGTAACCGGGGTATGGATATGATGTGTTTAATCCTGAGCAAGAGGATTTATGTAAGCATTTGATCAGTAAAGTAAAGGTAGAGGTTTCCCTTGCTTGAAAGCCAGTCGAATCTGACTCTAGGGTTGCGGTGCTCATCTCCGCTTCCAAGCCGAAGAGCCAGCGCTGTCCGAAGACGTTTCCGTGGTCATGTGACCGGCATGACTAAACACCAAGGCGCACGGAACGCTGTTACCTTCCCACCGAAGTGGTACCTATTTATCTACTTGCAATTTCTTGCTTTCGAACTGCTAGGCTGGCAGGAGCTGGGGCCAGAGACGGGAGCTCACTCCGTCATGCGGCACTCGGGTCTCGAACCGCCCAACTACGGACCTTCCGGTCTGCAGCTCAGCATCTTAACCTCTGAGCCACTGCTCAGACGTAAAGAGTTATGAAGTCTTTTTCCGTTCGGTGCCCGTTTACATGCAGTCATGAGCCAGTTGTTGGGTAGAATATCACCTGGGATGGCTCCTTCATACTTGATACATCATGGGCCCTTAAGTGCAGACTACTAGAACGGGGGTCCACGACCTTTCTGAGCCTGAGGGCACCTTTGGAATTCTGACACAGCATGGTGGTGAGAGCCACAAAATGGCTGCTGCAGGAAGCAGTGCCAGCAACAAAATGGCTGCTGCAGGAGGTGGAGGCGGACACAAAATGGCCACCGCAGCTTCCCTTCAGTCCCACAGTGAAGATCCTGGTGCTGTGGTGGCAGCTGCTGCCGAAGCAACGTTTTTAGAAATCTGCTCAGCCAGTTAAAAGTCCAACAGCCAATCAGAAACCTTTCTGGGCAAAATCCCTACCTGACCCCCGTCTACTTCTAAAAACATGTGGTGGGCAAGAAGATAGGTTTTGGCAGGTGCCAGCGCACTCACGGGCACCGCGTTGGGGCCCCCTGTGCTTCAACAATCACCTTCCCCACACGTTGTGCAAAGTGCCTCCTCGAGATGTGAGCTGAGGAGAACGTCTCGGGCTACATGTGAATGGGTGGGAAAAGCTGTCCCCAGCAAGGGGGATGGAAGCGCAGAATCCAAAATACAGCTACTCTGATAGGCAGCCTGTTGAAGAGAAGGTGTTTTCGTGGGGCAGAAATCTTCATCGCTTTGCAATCTTTTTCCACATTTAAAAGAGAACTCTCCAGCAGCCTTGCAGCTCGCTCCACTGCTGGTGCTTGCGTTGGTGTAAGGGTTTGTCGGAAGCCATTCATCTTGCACAAATGGCAGAGCAAGTGCCACCTGCTGCAGCGAGAGCAGAGCGTATGCAGAAGGCAGTCATGGGATCCGGTCCCTTGCTGTTTGAGTGTTCCATTTGTGCATAGTGGGCTTGTGCTTGTGCTTGAGGGATGAGGAGAAGAAATGTAGGAACTGCCCGAATAGTCCCACATCATGTTCTGTCTCATGCCTGCTGTCCTTATGGGCATGAACAGCTTTAACGGATGTACAGCCACGTGTGTAGCTTTATGCAGTGCTCTTTTTTGTTGTCGTTGCAGGTCTATTTGCGGCAACCTTTTTCTTTTTACGTCTCTGTGAACAAAGATGAAGAAGATCAGCTGGATCAGAAAGAACTGGCTCCTGGTGGCCGGGGTGGCCTTTGTCAGCGTCCATCTCGGTACCTACCTTCTCCAGAGGGCCGCCAAGAACTCCGCGAAATCAGGCCTGGAGATTAAACAAAAGGATCTTGACAAGTGAAGCTTTGCCCTCCGCCGTGTCACGTTTCGCACTCGCCTCGTCACTCGCTTAGCTATCCAACG